TCGATGGAGGGCGCCCCTCCGATGGGTGCCAAGACGTGAGCCTCCTCGCGGAGGTGTAGTACGCCGAGCCGATCGGCGACGAAGTCCAGGCTTCTGAAGAGGAAGGCCTGGGATGGCTCAAAGATGGGTGGAGCCCACATCCCAACAGGTGAGAGTGCGGGAAACTCCAGCGCGCCAAAGCGAATCGTATCGCCCGAGCCCGCCACGGCGAGGGTGGCAGAAAAGTGGGCCATCCGATGACCAAAAAGTGTTGAATGTACAACGTCTTCCCCACGGACGGTGCCAACTGTCGGTGCAGAAAGTGACCAACTAGTAAATATTTGTAGTGTTGTCGTACGTTGTGATCGGAGGTGGCCTAGCACTCAATGACGCAGGGTTTATACTGGTTCAGGCAACGTGCCCTACGTCCAGTTTGAGTCGATCGGTGACTTTATTCCTGAGCCCAGGTGATCGAAGTCTGCAGTGGGGTTACAAACGAGAAGGAGAAAGATGGGGTGTACGAGAGGTCCAGTTGGACTCCGGTCGAAAGGGACGAGAGCGACAGGAGCTCTGCTGCAAGCTAAGTGTTCAAGTGTGTGCTTGAGGTCTGAACCTGGCTGTTCTACGGTTGTGAGCTAGTGAACTTGGTCGATCTAATGAATCTAAAGGGACTTTTTTCAACTGGAAGAGAGCGCATCCCCTTTTATAGATGAAGGGGATGGCCTTACAAGTGAGAGGGAGAGAGTACGAATGCTTCTAAGCCTTGTTGCCCACGCCGATGGGTACAGGATGATGGTAGGCTCCCACAATACTGTTGGACATCAGATGCACATGGGAGGTCCGTCGTCTTGTTTGGGTATGGTAGATGCCGGTACCTGGATACATTGTTGATGCCCAGAGGCATGTGAGGAGTTTCACATTGTGCACTCGGTATGGTAAATCCCGGCGCCCACAACACTGTCGATGCCCAGAGGCATGTGGGGGAGCCTTACCGTATGGGAGTTTAATGGCACCCACAATACTGTAGGGGAAACGTAGGCACCTACAACACTGTTTGTGTTAGGGCGGTTGTAGAGTATTGTTCCTGCACGTGTACAGGATATGGTCCCTGGTATCGTGGTTTGACTTGTGCGCCTTGCCCTACTTGCTCCGCACGTCTCCTGGTCCCCACCGAGCAGGCGTCCCCGGTCGGTTGATCCCAGTCGACTCTGATCGTGCCAGTCGGAGAAGAGCGGTGAGCAGGGGCCAGGCGTATCCCTAGTCGGAGAGTGCGAGGTCGAGAATCAAGCGGTGCTTTTGGCCAGGCCTTCCGGTCGAAGAGGTCACCCGGAGGTGGGCTAGTGACCGAAGCGAGCGCTCCGGTCAGAGAGGTGGGCCGGAGTCAGAAAACGGGCGTTGTTCCTCCTCAGCCTGACCTTCCGGTCAAAGATTGGATCACTCCCCAGGCCTGTCGCCCCGATACTTGGGCCGGCCCATGAGTTGTGTGTTATTAGTTTGGGCCGAGCCTTTGTTTATGAAGCCGGTCCCCGAGGGACCCCGGGTTTATGAACCCGACATATAGTGTTCACTAAAGAGCTAAAGAGGTGGGAGAAGCGGACATCTATGGCCTTCTGCAATGTGTGTCCAAAGCGGTGCTAAAAATGGAGAGAGAATATTTGGGGTACCGCTCCTCCCACTGCAGCTAGTGGTGCCAATCCTAAGTGAAGCTAAGAAAACGTGGAGCGAGGCAAGTACGTTCACCGGTTCAAGGTGAAGCCAAGTCAATAAACAATATTTGATTTGCATGCAGCCGGGAGAGAAAGGAGAAAACACAAAAGAGAGATGAGACAAAAAGCTAAAAACAAGGGGCCCACTAGCGATGCCTCCCCACTGCGACGTAGAGCGTTTCTCGTTCTCACATGCGGAGCTCACGAGTTGATTTCTGGCATCACCACATTGCAGAAGGCCTAAGGCCTGGCTTGTTTAAGGGGTACCTTTTATGCTTTTAACATTAACTTAAAAGCTGGTTTTGTGGTTTCTAACTGTTGGTTTTTTATTATTAAATTTTGTAATAAATTTAAAACTTCCGGACAAATCAAAAGCCATGAAACCTCTTCGCAGCGGCTTTTAGTTTATTTTCTGAGTTTAGACAAAAGTGATGCTCAACGGCAGCCTCAAACAGTCAAACCCTTATCAACCGAGCTTGCATTTTTTTTAAGAAATGGCAGGAGCTTTGCTCAATCATGTAAGGAGAAGCTTGCCTGTACTATATAACAGGTAGCTTTCCTGTCTATCCATTTTTTAAAAAAAAAAGAGAGGAGAAAATGCATAGTTTTGCAAACTTGTGTTACAAAAGAATATAACAATGACACTAGACTAAACTAGGTTTGCCACGAGCCTTCTTCCTGAGGGCCAATTCCTCTTTCCTGCAAAGCCCTTCTGTTTTGTTATTTCTAGACATCCAAGGAATTATACACTAGGATTACCATCGATCTCTTTTACAATTCAACTCCTTGTTTTCCATGGCCTATTTAGATACATATAGCTAGTTATTGATTGGGGCTAAAATTTAGCCTAAATTATGGTTGGCTATCTAGTTAACTAACAACTAGTTAAAGACTTGGCTAAAAATTTATTGGCCCACCTATTAGCTCTCCTGTTTTTCAGGGATACAATAGAGCTAATTTTAGTTAAAGCAATTAATCCTTTAGTAAGGATGCCCACCACTCCTTAATTGTCATAGTTGTGTCCTTATATCATAGCAAGTGTCTGTAAAAAGCCATAGGTACTGTAGGTATCAAAATTATTAGTACCTAAGGTACCATTGCTTAACTCACATGCATGTTCAATGGTACTCCCTCAGTCTAAAAAATGCAATTCTCACTTTTTGAGCTAGAGTCAAACAGTTTAAACTTTGACTAAATTTATATAAAGAAGTACTAGCATTCATGATACAAAATAAATATCATTAGATTAGTTATAGAATATATTTTTATAACAAAATTATTTGAAGACATAAATACTAAATACTATTTACTATAAACTTGGTCAAACTTGAACTAGTTTGACCGACACGAAACCCATAATTGTATTCTTTTATGGACGGAGGGGTACATCTTGTTACCATTTCAAGAACGGTAAAAGACCTCGCTAGAGCGAGAAGGGGTCATTGAACAAAAAGAGGGCGGGTTTTTTATAAATTAAACGGTTTGTTTACAAGATGTTTCTCGTAAAAGATCCATAAGAGGTGAGATAAGAAGAAACGGGTGATATCACAGCAAGTGAGACCCTGTTTGGCAGTTTTGCATAGCTTCACCAACAATTTCATTGGTTGTTGTGAGATAATTTTTGTCAAACATCTTTTTTATGCTCTCATAAAGGAATTGAGAGAGGTGAAGCTAAAAAATAGCTTTTTATAGCTCTCTCATTTTCCTCTCTCAACCATGTATAAAGCAGTTGGTGAAGCTGTTTTCGCCACGAGCCTTCTTCCTGAGGGCCAATTCCTCTTTCCCAAGGAAGCCCTTCTCTTTTGTTATTTCTAGACATCCAAGGAATTATACACTAGGATTACCATCGATCTCTTTTACAATTCAACTCCTTGGTTTTTCATGGCCTATTTAGATACATATAGCTAGTTATTGATTGGGGCTAAAAATTAGCCTAAATTATGGTTGGCTATCTAGTTAGCTAACAACTAGTTAAAGACTTGGCTAAATAATTAGCCCACATATTGGCCCTGTTCTCTTCTATTATAATCCGTACTTTTCAGCTTGTTTTTTCAGCCGGAACAGTGTTTTTCTCTCAGAACAAATCAGCCGGAACATTGTTTCGGCTTGTTTTTTCAGCGAAGCGAACGGGGCCATTAGCTCTACAATAGAGCTAGTTTTTAGTTAAAGCAATTAATCCTTTAGTAACTATGCCCACCACTCCTTAATTGTCATAGTTGTGTCCTTATATCATAGCAAGTGTCTATAAAAAGCCATAGGTACTGTAGGTATCAAAATTATTATTACCTAAGGTACCATTGCTTAACTCACATGCATGTTCAATGGTACTCCCTCTGTCTAAAAAAATACAATTCACTTTTCGAGCTAGAGTCAAACAGTTTAAACTTTGACTAAATTTATATAAAGAAGTACTATCATTCATGATACAAAATAAATATTATTAGATTAGTTATAGAATATATTTTTATAACAAAATTATTTGAAAGGCATAAATACTAAATACTATTTACTATAAACTTGGTCAAACTTGAACTAGTTTGACCGACACGAAACCCATAATTTTCTTTTTCTTTCCTGGAGTTTTCCTCTTTTTTCATACTACAAAACAAAATAAAGCTGCTCTATGCAGTGTGCGGTGTATGGACTTGAGATGTTATAAGTGGTCTGTATGATGCTTTGTTTGTGTGATACTGTGATTATGTATACCCTCATGGTTTTCTATGTGGGAAGAAAAAGGGCATACATAGTTTATACGAGGTATTCTGTTTTGGAATCTTATGCAAGTTTGACTGAATATGGAATGTTTGCTCATTTCTAATTGATATTAGGAGACTTTCATTATGGTGAATTTGTCATTGTTGAAATTTGAAATTATTTTTTGAACAAAATGAAGACTCCAAGGGTTATAGCGTTCAGTAGAGAGGTGAGAGAAGTAGGCATTTGTCATGACTCCGCGGGATATGCAAAGACGGCGTCGGAAGCAGGCCCGAAAGCGGAGGTGTTTGGGATCCGACAAGAGAGAGGAACATAGTGGCTGACTAGTGGACCTAGAAGCCGAAGGGAATGACAGTGGACCCAAACTGGATAGGGCCCAAAACGGCATGTAAATGAACATGTTCCGTTAATCGAAATCCAAACTCTGAAACTGCAGTTCCTCCCGCCGCACTGAAATTCCTCTTATTCCTGTCCATTTCTTGCTAAATCTACCTCTGACTCTTCCTCAGCTATCTTAGCTCATCACAATTGGTACTCAGAGCAGGTTGATTCTCGGCCAAATTTTTTTCATCGCCATGGTGACTCGCTCTAGCGCCGAAGATGAAGCCGACAAATGTTGAATTTTTCATGGCGGTGAACGCGGAGGCCACCAACAAGTACTTAGAGGGTATCAAGCAACTTCTTGAGCAGCTCCTCGACAAGTTCTCCGGCCTCGAGTCGTGGAAGACCACCGCGGATTCATCATTGGGATCGCTGCTGCAGACCACGGCAGGACGGGTACAGAAGTTGGAGGCGCGACCACGACCGCCACCACCGCTGCCGCTGCCCTCGGCTACCATGCTTCAACCGCGCCCATAGTAGCAATGGTGACAAGAATAGTTAACTCATTATATCTATTATTTAAAATTAATAACTATATACTAATAAATATACTATCTTATTAGTAATTATAATGACAAAAATAGTGCACATTTGTCATGATAAATATACTAACACGTTAATTAACACTATTACTATCTTAATTTTCACATAGTTGCGCATTAATCAACATAGTATTACTTATCAAAACTAATCTTGTCATCATAATTAATAAATAATAATGTAACATGCAAATAATTATTAATTTATTTATTGATGTCAAAGATTGGAAAACTTGGACAGACTTGTTCAGCAGATCTTTATTTACTAGCTTATCCAGCATCTATCGAGGATATTCCTATCCAAGTCACCTGCCAACCAAACATTGTTTGTCCATGGACCGCTAATTTATCCCGTGCTATCCCACATCGTTTTCTACAATTGACCCTCTTGAATTCGCATTTTCGGATGAATTCGAATTCGGTACAAAATACGGAATACCAAACTCGAAAAATGGACGGAAATGGTTTAGGTGTTTTCCGACCGTTTTCTACTTTTTCGCTTTTTATTCGGAATATCCCGTTTTTGAAGTTCGGTTTATACTGTTTTTGGCACGAGAAGTCCAGCCTTAGAAAAATTGTATCTTTTTCATACGATCTCGGATGAATATGATTTTTATATGCAAATTGTAGCTCTCGACAAGATCTATAATTTTCTAGTTTTCAATTTTTTTATTTGAGGTCGTTAAGATGTTTAAAAAATTAAACATTTTTTAGCAGAATGTTAATAGTGTACAAACCCTTGTTGCCTTAGAAAAATCATATGTTTCTTATATAGTGTCAAATGGAGATACTTTTTATATGAAAGTTGTAGCACTTGTTAATTGTTATGCACTTGGTACTATGGATCAATATTTTGTATTGATTTTTTTATACCGACCGTGTTCAACTTAATTCCGTTCGTATTAGTTCGTTTTCGAAATTCTCGATATTTTGTAAGTTTGTGTTTGTTTTCGTGTCCGGCTTTACCGCTTTCGTTTCGTAATCAAATGTAGAAGTAGAAAACGGTTCAGGGGTTTTCCGACCGTTTTCATCAAACCGGTATGTCCCATCTAAGATATTCGTCAAATCAAACACATCCCTAGTTGTTTTCACCAGAACTCCATCTAGTGATGTGTGATGTGCAACTTGGTGAAATGGGTCATACAATCTCTATATATTAAACGTGAAAATACTTTGTTTTAAAAAAAACTAACTAAAACGTTTTTTTAAATGATGCATATGAGCATATCCCTATTGTATCCGTAGATGTGTCTTTTATCGTGTAAAAGTTAAGATGCAAACTTGTTTAATAAAAATGCGTACGGAAATGGTAATTTCTGGATCTGTGTGCGAATGTGCACCTAAAGTCCGGAAACGATATATTCCACATCATTTCGCTCACGTCAAACGGTGTGCCGATTTGACGACATATCTACACCTATAGGAGTTGAACATTGACGGAATGACAGCACATTTCCTGACGTGTCTCTGCAACCCCGGCCAGTCGGCCACATTATGGTCACTCGAGTGACGAGCGACGGTGCCGTGCCAAGCCAACCCAAGTGGGAAAAGCCGCCGCCGACTCCTGGGCGTCTCATCCTCACCAGACGCCACCAACCCCCGTCATAGCCGCCTATTTAAAGCCCTCAGTCTACCACTCTCATGGCACACACAAGCAGAACCTACAATCCTAAGCTGAGCACCTAAGCATTTAGCTCGCACCGTTTAGTCGATCGGCCGACGATCACTGAAGCAATGGCCTCCACCAGAAGCTGGACCCTCGAGATCGTGTCACCGGTGGTCGCGCCACGCCTGTTCCGTGCCGTCGTGTTGGACTGGCACACCCTGGCGCCCAAGGTCGCCTCCCACATCATCGCCAGCGCCCACCCCGTGGAGGGCGATGGCGCCGTTGGCAGCATCAGGCAGTTCAACTTCACCTCAGGTAACTGTCCGCGGCGTGCCCAGACCAACATGTTGTCGCCCTATCGATCAAATAGCTAAGCGCATGATGTGCCTCTTGCAGTCATGCCGTTCTCCTTCACGAAGGAGAGGCTCGACTTCCTGGACCTGGACAAGTGCGAGTGCAAGAACACACTCATCGAAGGCGGCACCATCGGCATTTCCATCGAGACGGCGACGTCGCACATCAAGGTGGAGCCCGCGGCCGATGGCGGTAGCCTGGTGAAGGTGGAGTCGACCTACAAGCTGTTATTGGGCGTGGAGGTCAAAGACGAGGTCACCAAGGCCAAGGAGGCAGTCACCGCCATCTTCAAGGGTGCCGAGGCCCACCTCGTCGCCAACCCCGACGCCTACAACTAAATCAGTGGATTGGGATGCGATTCCCGTACCCAGAGTTTGGTTTTTCTCTTTCTCTCTTGTTCCTTTTTTCATACAAAACAAAATAAAGCTGCTCATTGCAGTGTGCGGTGTATGGACTTGAGATGCTATGAGTGGTATGTACGATGATGTCGTTGTGCGATCGATTATGTAGTACCCTCGTGGTTTTCTATGTGGGAAGAAAAACGGCATTATTCTGTTTCGGAATCCTATGCAAGTTTGACAAAGAATTTTGCTCATTTCAAATAGATATATTGGGAGACAGTTCTGGTGAATATGTCATTATTGAAAATTGAAATTATTTTCCAAAAATATGAGGGCTCCAAGACTTCTGTTGCGACTCCGTCGTCGGACAGGTAAAAATTGTGAATTTGCAATGTATGTACTTAGTTAGCTTTGATTGTAGTGTAGTAGTTTTGGCATTTGTTGTTTACTAGTTAATGTGATGACTCAAGTAGTTGATTTAGTTAGTGATCTAGTGAGATAGATATGTAGATAGATAGAAACATAGATACATAGGTACATAGATATAGTTAGATAGGTACTTAGATATATAGTTATATATTTAGTTAACTAAATAGAATCTAGCTATTTAGTAAGTACACTGTATATATATACGTAGTTATTATCTTATTTACTTAGCTTGTAGTTAGAAAGTACTTGTTAGGTACTATCTATCGTCTAATTTGGACTAAAGGACATGTGTTTCGTTACGTGTTTAAAATAGATGGACAACCTAGTGACCATATATCATGGAGGCACCGTTGAAAGCGATCGCTATGGATATGTTGAGTTTGTTGACATGCAAAGCGTGCCTGTGCTATTCAATGAGAAGCCATCCTTTAGTGACATGGTTGCAAGGGCTCGGGAGGAGCTACATTGCCTTGGCGATGATGATGATGGCATTGCAGTTGAGGGTGTACTACACCTAGGTTCTCCTCCCAACATCCTCAGGCGAATGATCCCAATTAGATGTGCGGATCAGTAGGAGAACTATGTGAGATCGGCTATGAAGAGCCAGCTACAATGTTTGGACGTGGTTGTGCGTCGGGTGTTAGTTGATGCCATCCCTCATGGGTTTTCCCCACCAATGGGTCAACAGGCACACTTCGACCCTCCCGTCCTAGAACCTGATACGGATGTGGAGGTTGCACCTACAGTTCCCGATGCCCAATCTGCCCCCAATGAGGTAGTTGGAGATGTTTATTAGACTCATGTTGTTGTGATAGATCCTCCTCATGAGATCCCTTTGACACAGAATCATCCAAGTAAGCGTCTTATCTGTATGGTTATTGGGAGCTTACCCCATTCCTTACATCTATTTCTTTCATTCTTTCCTCATTTCTCTACTTATATTGTAGGAGACATTCCTGACAATGTGGATGTGCCCCCTGTTGCTGCGCAAGTGCTCTGTGGAGATGGATTCCATGGCTCCAATAGTGTTGAAATTATGAATGATTCAGAGCCATATGAGATGGCAAGGGCTCTTGATTCTGATGATGATCGCCCTATTGGAGAGCTGACAGAGAGTGATGTTGAGTGCTGAGGCATATCTTTCCCGGCTGCCATGATCCAAGATTTCATGAGTTTAGCGATCTTGCTCATTTCGATTAGGCGTGTGCAGAAGGACGTGATGATGAGCTCCTAGAAGCTCATAAGACTATGCCTAACATGGTAATTGAGAATGGGAGAGTATTCAAGGACCTCCCTGCATTGAAGAGGTGGTTGCAGGCGTTTGCAATGATACGAAAGAGACCTTACAAGGTCTTGCATTCATATGCGGAGCGCCGTTACACTGTTGTGTGTGACAAGGAACGCTGCCCATGGAGGGTTTGTGCAAGGAAGCAAAAGGTCACCGGAAAGTGGAAGATCACAAAAGTTGTCGGGCCACACAATTGTGCTGACCATATGCTGACACTAAGGCATCGGCAGTTGACATCTACCCTCATTGCCAAGTGATTGATGGGAATATTGTAGGGAGAACCCAACATGAAGGTTAGGACAATTATCAGGATCGTTGAGGCATTGTATGGAGGTTATGTGATAACTTATGGTAAAGCTTGGAGGGCTAAGCAGCGAGCGTGGAAGATGATATATGGGGACTGGGAGGATGGGTATGAGCAGCTGCTAGTACTTTTCAATGCAATCAAAGCAGTGAATCCAGACATGCATTATGAGTACATCCCAAAACCAAATGCATGAAAGGATGGGAGGCAGGTATTCTTACGTGCTTTCTGGTGCTTCCCTCAGTGTGTCGAGGCCTTTAGGCACTGCCGTCCCATCTTCTCCATTGATGGTACGTTCTTGATTGGCAAATACCAGGGCACACTTCTTATAGCCATATCCTATGATGCGAACAACAAGTTGGTTCCTTTGGCATTTGCTTTGGTTGAGAAGGAGAACAATAACAGTTGAGGATGGTTCTTGAGGCTAGTCCGGATACATGTGGTTGGGCCTAGCAGGGAGGTTGGCATCATATCTGATAGGCACCAGGGCATACTTAATGCCATGTGAGAGCAGATAGAGGGGTATGCACCTTTGCACCATCATTGGTGTACTCGGCACCTTGCCAAGAATCTACTCCGGAAGGATGGTGTGAAGGATAACTTTGATCTGTTCTAGGAGGCTGCTCGATAGCTTGAGGACAAGCACTTTCAGAAAAAGTTGGAGCAGGTCAGAACCGCATCAAATGCAGAAGCTAGACAATGGCTCACAGGTTTGATGAGGGATTTGGAGAAATGGACAAGAGCTCACAAACGCCGGTGGATGGAGGTATGAGTTTCAGTGCAGCAACATGGCGGAGTCATTCAATATGTTGCTATTGGGGATACGTGGTATGCCCATGAATGTAATCATTCAATTCACCTTCTACAAGCTTGTTGCCTGGTTCAACGATAGACACGCCCATGTATTGAAGTTGCGGAGTGATGGAGAGATATGGGCTCCGAAACCAAAGGCTCACCTAGAGAAGGCAAATGAAAGGGCTGGCACACATGAGGTTACATGCTTTGACCATGCCATAGGGACTTATCAGGTCAAGCATAGGGGCGGTACAATGTCCGACAGTGAGGTCCGAGAGTCGAGGATGCATGTGGTTATCCTCCAAAATTTCACATGTACTTGTGGTAAACCAAGGCAGTACCACTTTCTATGTTCCCATTTGGTGGCAGTAGCTAGGCATCGCAACTATAATATCAAGAGCAGGATACCCACGAGTTCAGTGTCAACACTCTTGTGCACACATGGAGCCCTCGCTTCGTGCCTTTCTAGGACCCTAGAGAGTGGCCTCCATATGATGGGCCAAAGTACATTGCGGATCTAGCTTACCGTTGAAACAAGCGTGGATCAAGGAAGAGGATGAGGCACATGATGGTTATGGATCAGATACCTAGAAGAACGAGACGTGGGAGAGGAACCCCATTTCTTACTGACCCCGAGCAGTATGAGTGCGGCAAGTGTGGTAGACTAGGCCCCAACTCACGCGCTTGCCATTGGCAGATTAGTGAGGTGCGACTATTGGTTGTTTTCATTATTTCATATTTGTTGTATTTATTTAATTAATTATGCATGTCTCAATTTATGCATGTATTTGTGTCAATTACTTGTACATTTCTAAGTTCATGTTTCATTGTATATTGAATTTCTAATTCATTGACTTTTTTTAGGATGGCGCAATTCCACCTGCTCGACCCGACGTACGAGGCGACCCACCAAGGACGTCTCATAGCGAAGGGGCAGGTAATAATATATATGTTTTGTTCATTTTTTTGTGAGTGTACATGTGTTCGTGAAGTAACGGGAGACTATGTTTTATTCCATGCAGGACCTTCCGTTCCTTCGTCCTAGAACCCACAATGGGTTCTTGGACATGCAGTACGACGACAGGTACACTCCTTTCCTGCAAAGAGCTGGCCTGGATGTCATCTCTTTTTAGGTTCATCGTGGGTTGCCCAAGTTCAATTCTGCGGCCATAACTGTGTTGGTTGACAGGTATTATCTTCAATCATTGCCTCCATTCATGGCCATTTGTTCATGCGCTTGTCTTTTTGACATGTAATCTTGCTTTGTCTAAAATGTAGGTGGCGGCCGAAGACTCACAGCTTCCACCTACCTTTCAGAGAGATGACAGTCATGCTCTAGGACTGTCAGAAGATGCTAGGCCTAAGGATTCATGGCAATGCAGTCACTGAGCAGTGCAGGTCAGAAGGCTGGAGAGCACGAGTAGAGGCCTTCCTTGGGCATGAGGTTGGCGAGCAAGGGGCTCGCACAGTGCCCCGAGGAGGTAGATGAGGAGACAGTTGGGTACTACTGCAGGACGTGGATCCTACACCTGTTTGCCTGCATTCTCTTCCCCGACGCCATGGGTGACACTACATCGTGGATGTGGGTCCACTGCCTCGGTGACTGGGACTAGGTGGGTCAATATAGCTGGGGCTCTGCAGTCTTGGGTTTTCTTTACCGGCAGCTTTGTGAGGGGTGTCGTCGGACTTCATCCACAGCGTCACTTGGTGGATGCGTGTACCTGCATCAGTTGTGGATGTGGGCTCATCTACTAGTTGGTCGTCCTGAGGTTCTGGCTCCTCATGAGTGGTACCCAGGTTAGCC